TGGGTCAGGGTGTCTCTGGGGACCGGGATGAGAGGTGTCTATGGGGGTCTCCATGGGTCAGGATGGCCCAGGGGAGCAGGATGAGGGGTGTCTGTGGGGTCTCCATGGGTCAGGATGGCCCAAGGGAGCAGGGTGAGGGATGTCTATGGGGTCTCCATGGGTCAGGGTGGCCCAGGGGAGCCGGGATGTGGGGGTGTCTGTGGGGTCTCCATGGGTCAGGGTGGCCCAAGGGAGCAGGGTGAGGGGTGTCTGTGGGGTATCCATGGGTCAGGTGTCTCTTGGGATGGGGATGTGGGGTGTCTGTGGGGTCTCCATGGGTCAGGGTGTCTCTGGGGACCGGGATGAGGGTTGTCTGTGGGGTCTCCATGGGTCAGGTGTTTCTGGGGACCAGGATGTGGGGTGTCTGTGGGGTCTCCATGGGTCAGGGTGTCTCTGGGGACCGGGATGAGGGTTGTCTGTGGGGTCTCCATGGGTCAGGTGTTTCTGGGGACCAGGATGTGGGGTGTCTGTGGGGTCTCCATGGGTCAGGGTGGCCCAGGGGAGCAGGGTGAGGGGTTTCTATGGGGTCCCTGTGGGTCAAGGTTCATGGTGGTGGTTTGGTGGCCCTGGGAGTTCCCATGGGGGAGGTCCCATCCCATCCCATGCCTTGTCCCCACTGCCAGCCCCACGGAGGCGGGGTGCTGTCTCCCCACTGCCAGCCCCACGGAGGCGGGGCACAATCCTGCCCGCCCCTGGCCATGGGGCCTGGCCACTGGCCCCACAGCATTTAGGAGGGGCACCCTGAGCCCCGGCAGTGCCAGTCCAGCCTCACGCTCCTGTGGCCACCGCTCAGCCCCCCAGGTAGGCACCTTGGGGCCCCAGGCACCCGGACCCCCATGCGCAGCCCCACGGCTGGTCTTCTCCAGCCCCACGCAGGTGGAGGCTGTGGGGCTCTGGGTGCCCCACTGGGTGGGTTCTCTCCAGGAAGGGTGGGTGCATCGGATATGGAGGGGGGGTGGTGGGGGGGGCAGATGTGGGGATGCTGATGTGGGGATGCTGCCCCACACCAGGGTCCCTGGGGATCCCCATGGGTCAGCCCAGGATGCTGCCCCACACTGGGGTCCCTGGGGATCCCCAGAGGTCAGCCTGGGATGCTGCCCCACACTGGGGTCCCTGGGCATCCCCATGGGGCAGCTTGGGATGCTGCCCCACACCGGGGTCCCTGGGCATCCCTGTGGGTCAGTTTGGGATGCTGCCCCACACCGGGGTCGCTGGGGATTCCTGTGGGTCAGTCTGGGATGCTGCCCCACGCTGGGGTGCCCAGGAGTCAGCTTGGGATGCTGCCCCACACCGGGGTCCCTGGGCATCCCTGTGGGTCAGCCTGGGATGCTGGCCCACACCAGGGTCCTGGGAGATCCCTATGGGGCAGCTTGGGATGCTGCCCCACACCGGGGTCCCTGGGCATCCCCATGGGGCAGCTTGGGATGCTGCCCCACACTGGGGTCCCTGGGGAAGCCCATGGGGCAACCTGGGGTGCTGCCCCACACCGGGGTCCCTGGGGATCCCTGTGGGTCAGCCTGAGATGCTGCCCTACACAGGGGTCCCCAGGAGTCTTCTTGGGATGCTGCCCCACGCTGGGGTCCCTGAGGTCCCCATGGGGTGACCCCTTGTCAGGGCAGCCCGGGCACGTCCGTGGCTGGAGGCTGGTGGCCATCCCGGCTCTGAGAATCCCAGGCATCCCCCGCCGGCTGCACCAGAGCCTCCGGCAGCCACGGCCGGGCTGAGTCACCCCGTGGCCAGGACAGCCCCGAGCTCTGAGCCACCTCTGAGCCACCTCCGAGCCACCCTGGCCGGCTCAGGACACGGGTGTCTCGCTGTGGGGCGACTCCTCCTCCTCTGGCCCTGCAGCTGCAGCCCAGAAGGCCAATCCCATCCTGGGCTGCATCAAAAGCTGCGTTGCCAGCAGGTCCAGAGAGGGGATTCTGCCACTTTACTCTGCTCTGGTGAGACCTCACCTGGAGTATTGTGTGCAGGGCTGGAGCCCTCAATAGAAGAAGGACATGGACCTGATGGAGAGGGTCCAGAGGAGGGCCACGAGGATGATCAGGGGGATGGAGCACCTCTGCTCCGAGGACAGGCTGAGGGAGCTGGGGTTGTTCAGCCTGGAGAAGAGGAGGCTCCGGGGAGACCTAATAGCAGCCTTCCAGTACCTGAAGGGAGCTACAGGAAGGCTGGGGAGAGCCTGTTTAGAAAGGCCTGCAGTGACAGGACGAGGGGCAATGGCTTCAAGCTGGAGGGGAACAGCTTTAGACTGGAGATGAGGAGAGGGTTCTTCACTGTGAGGGGGGTGGAGCACTGGAACAGGTTGCCCAGGGAGGTGGTTGAGGCCCCATCCCTGGAGATATTCAAGGAGAGGCTCAACGAGGCCCTGGGCAACCTGGTCTAGTTGGGGGGGTCCCTGCTGACTGCGGGGGGGTGGGACTAGATGGCCTTTGGAGGTCCCTTCCAGCCTGGGCAATTCTATGATTCTAGGCTTTCTCCCTGCATCTCCGCCACTTCCAGCTCCAACATAACCCCCCCCGTGTCCCATCCCTCCCCAGGGTCACCACGTTCTCCCAGGAGACCAGCAGCTCCGTCCCACAGCTCACCATGCAGCAGCCCCTCGAGCCCCCCGGGCAACAGCCCCCGGGCTACGGCAAGTGTAGCCCGGTGGCCAGCGACGCCGGGAAAGCCGCCGGGTGCAGCGCAGGCAGCGGAGGGAATATCGGGAAGGGACCAGTGATCTGCAGCACCGTGGGGTGAGAACAAGGTGCTGGGGGCAGAGGGGAGACTTGGGGTGCTTGGAGTGGGCAGAGGTCCCCAGGTTGGTGCTGGTGAAGGATGCCGGGGGACAAGTTTTGGGGTCCATGGGCCACCACACCGCAGCGTGGCCCAAGGGAGGTGTAGGGGGCACAAGGAGCTCCCGTCATCAGGGGGAAGACCCAGGTGTCCAGGCTCCCTGCCCTCTCTCCAGGGACTCTGGGGCTCCAGTTTGATGCTGGGCTGGGGTGAAGTGGAGCTGGGGGGACGTGGAGCTCCTCAATGGGAGCACGAAGGGTCGGGATGGGGCTGGGATCCCTCTGATGTCCCCATCCCTGCAGCGGGAATCCCTACGCGGGGCTGGTGAACCACCTGCGGGCAGCCTGGCTCTCGGGGAAGACACGACCCATGGAGTACCGGGTGGCCCAACTGGAAGCCCTGGGACGTTTCTTGGATGAGAAGAAGCAGGAGATCCTGGAGGCCACTGCCTTGGACATGGGCAAGGTGAGAAGGGGGGTCGGGTGCTGGCCACTGGGAATCTGCGTACCCCCTTGTCTGGGTCTTCCATCCTCCTGGGTGCAGGTGTGGGGCTCTGGGGGTCCCCTCGTCATCCTGTACCCCTCTTGATGTTCTTGAGGGCTTGTGTGGGGCTCTGGGGGTCCCCTCGTCATCCTGTACCCCTCTTGATGTTCTTGAGGGCTTGTGTGGGGCTCTGGGGGTCCCCTCGTCATCCTGTACCCCTCTTGATGTTCTTGAGGGCTTGTGTGGGGCTCTAGGGGTCCCCTTGTCATCCTGTACCCCTCTTGATGTTCTTGAGGGCTTGTGTGGGGCTCTAGGGGTCCCCTCATCATCTTGTACCCCTCTTGATGTTCTTGAGGGCTTGTGTGGGGCTCTAGGGGTCCCCTTGTCATTCTGTACCCCTCTCGATGTTCTCCAGACCTTGTGTGGAGCACCCATAGGTGCTGGGTCCCTGCAGAGCTCTCCACAGCCTGGGTTAGTCATGGCAAAGCTCCCGTTGATCTCTCTGAGGTGGGAACCTCAGTGTTCCCGAGCTTCACCCTCTGTGTCACCCCCCACCATCGAGTCCCAGTGGCTTTGTGTGACATCCGTGGAGGGTGATGTCCTGGGGTGCTCCTCGCCAGCCCGGTGGCACCTGAGATTACTGGCGTTGTGCAACGTGCTGGCCTTGCACATTCCTCCCCGGGCTACTCAGGGCGGCTCACTGGCCTCCCAGGGACTGGTTTTGCTGGCAGAGGTGGGGACCTGGATGTGGTTCTGGGTGTTGTGGCACCTCTGGAGCTCCCGGATGGTCTATCGGGGAAGTGGGATCATCCTTGCCGTGGCTCTGTTGAGCTGTCTCAGCTCATCTTTTCTCTCTCTGGTTGCTTCAGGACCTTTTTCTCCCTTTTTTTCCCTTCCTGATGTGTGCTGCACCCCAACGGGCCACCACACGCATTGTCACATGCCATTAGGACACCTTTTTGGAGGGCTGGCGTGTCCTGATTGCAGCCTAACTGGTCTTAACTGGTAGTGGTAGAGCTAAGACCCAAAGGATTTGTGTCTGGGGGTGTATCAGCACAGCGGCCATGCCCTCAGACATGGATTTCAACATCCTGACATCTTCCTGGGCTTCTAATTAATTGCCTTGTTTATCTGAGGCGAGGGCCTTTTCCTTCAGCCAGGGCTTGATAGGCATCAGAGCTCCAAGTGCGTCCTTCATCGCTGCTAATTGTATGTAATTAGGGCCGGTTGTCTAGTAATGCGCTTGTTATGCAGCCGGGCCTTCATAGCTCCATGGACAATTCATCTGGTCTTACGTATCTGAGGTGGGTACCTCACCTCCAGGGCTGCCGGTTTCTCTTGGATGACCTCAGACTTAATGTCCCATCTTCCAAACGTCGTGTCCCATCAATATCCTTTAATGGCCTCATCTTCACCGGCAATTTCCTCATCCTCCTTGTGATGCAACTGTCAGCCCAGGGTGAGAGCAGCCCCCGTTGCTTCACCCAACAGCTGATGTCCCCACTTGAGCGTCTCTTGAAGGTCTCTTGAGAGGGGCTTTGGTGGTGGTGGAGCACCAGAGGTTGCCAGTTGGGTCTCAACAACCAAACTTTCCTAAGCCCAATGTGGTGTTTTGCTGCAGTTGTGGAGGAAGGTTCCTACCCAGGGATGCTCTTGGGTTGGAGGAGTCCAAAGGATGAGCATCAGGGGTTATCTTCTGGGGTCTTCACTCTTCTCCTGTGAGAAGGGTCCTGAGCTGGGCTTCAGGGCTGTGGCTATGGCCATGGAGAGGACCCACCGCCCGCAGGAAATGCCTCGGTAGCCCCTGCCATCCTGGCTGTGACGTCCTGTCACCGCTCCCGAGTCACCCTCCGTCACCATTTAGTCACTGCCTGTTGGGATGGATTATCTTGGAAGAAACCTGCTGGGTTTGTTTAATTCCGTGATGGGGCATCTCACCCAACCTGCCTTCCCCTCCCCAAGCTCCAGGGGGTGGGTTCTGCCTGGGCCAGGAGCCTGGTGTGGCTCAGCCGAGCTCCATCACAAGGTGTTTAATGAAGCCATTGCTCTTCTTCCCATTTCTTTTTGAAAAAAAACCAAGGTTTTAAGTCCAGCTGTGGGGAGGAGCTGGGGGCTTGGCTTCCAGCTCCTGAGCCCAAGAGCACTGGCCCATCCCAGTTCAGCTGAGCTGCCTCTGACACTGGTACCAGCTTTTCTGGAGCTCTGGTGACATTCCTTGGTCCCCCCCCCATGGCTCAGGGCTCTGTTGCCCTGAAGGTGAGCACTTCCCAGATGCTGAGCTCAGGAAACCGTTAAATAATGTGAAAATGTTCAATATGGGTATTTTTTCCTCTGGCCAAACATCTATTTTCATAAAATTTCGGGGACTGTGATATTCCCTGGGGGTTGCAGGAGGTGATGGCAACTTCTGCTTAAGAGCTTCTGCTTAATAGCCCTTCATTGGAGGAGGATGGTGGGAGATGTCTCCTGTGGAAGGGGGGGATGGGGTCGGTGTTGGGGTGACACCCCATGGGGATACCCAATGGAGATATAAGAAGTTCCACCTAAACATGAGGAGGACCTTCTTTCCTGTGAGGGTGGCAGAGCCCTGGCAGAGGCTGCCCAGAGAGGTGGTGGAGTCTCCTTCTCTGGAGACATTCAAACCCCACCTGGACATGTTCCTGTGGGACCTGCTCTGGGTGGACCTGCTTTGACAGAGGGTTGGAGGAGATGATCTCCAGAGGTCCCTTCCAACCCCACAGCATTCTGGGATTCTGTGATGCTTATGTGTTGTCTGTCCCCAGCCATCCTTTGAAGCTTACTTCACTGAGATCCTCCTCTGCAAGAACGAGCTCAACGACACCCTGAACAACCTGTCCCACTGGATGAAGGATGAGCACGTGGACAAGAACCTGGTAAAGGCAGAAGCTCTGGACTGAGCTGGGGAGGGAAGAGGGGGGAGATGAGGGGGCAGAGCGGGCCGAGGAGCTGGGCAGAGGCAGGAGGTGGTGGGAATGTCACCGAGGTCGTGGCCTTTCTTGCAGGTGACACAGCTGGACTCGGCCTTCATCCGCAAGGACCCCTACGGGGTGGTGCTCATCATCGCGCCCTGGAACTACCCCATCCACCTCTTCCTAGTGCCCCTCATCGGGGCCATCGCTGCCGGTGAGCCCAACCTGTCCCCTGGCCCCCACCAGTGGGGTGAGATAGATTGGGTCACTGGGCCAATGCCAATGGAATGAGATTCAACAAGGGCAAGTGCCAGGTCCTGCACTTGGGCCACACCAACCCCCTGCAGCGCTACAGGCTGGGGGAAGTGTGGCTGGAGCTGCCTGGAGGAAAGAGACCTGGGGGTTCGAGTTGCCAAAGGGCTGAATATGAGCCGGCGTGTGCCCAGGGGGGCAAGAAAGCCAATGGCATCCTGGCTTGTATCAAAAATAGTGTGACCAGCAGAAGTAGGGAGGTGATTGTGCCCCTGTGCTCAGCACTGGGGAGGCCACACCTCGAGTGTTGTGTCCAGTTTTGGGCACCTCAATCCAAGAGAGATCTGGAGGTGCTGGAGCGAGTGCAGAGGAGGGCAATGAAGCTGGTGAGGGGGCTGGAGAATAAAATCATATGAAGAGTGATTGAAAGAGCTGGGGCTGTTTAATTTGAGGAAGAGGAGGCTGAGGGGAGACCTCATCACTCTCTACAACTGCTTGAAAGGACACTGTAGAGAGGTTGGTGCTGGTCTCTTCTCACAGGTAATTAGTGACAGAACGAGAGGGAACGGCTTCAAGCTCCAACAGGGGAGGTTTAGACTGAACATTAGGAAGGAATTTTTCACCGAGAGAGTGGTCGGGCATTGGAACAGGCTGCCCAGGGAGGGGGTGGAGTCCCCATCCCTGGCTGTGTTTAAGGGCCGTTTAGATGCAGTGCTGAGGGACATGGGGTAGGGGAGGACTTTGTAGAGTAGGGGAGATGGTTGGACTCGATGATCCCAAGGGTCTCTTCCAACCTAGACCATTCTATGATTCTATGAGGGGGTCTGGCCGGGGGTCTTGTCCCCATGCTGGGGTGCCAGAGGGGCTGGCTGTCACCCTGTCACTGCTCTGACGTCCTGTCCCTCTCCCCCCAGGTAACTGTGTCGTTGTCAAACCCTCGGAGACGACAAAACACACTGAGAGACTTGTTGCTGAAATGCTGAGCTGCTACCTGGATAATGTAAGAAGCTCTCCTTGTCCCTGTCCCTGGTGTCCCCAACCCTACCTTGCCCACACCGTCCCCACACCATTCCCAGTCTCAGGTGCTGCTGTTCCTCCTTCCTCTGTGGTGTCCACACACCTGGCAGCTGTCGGTGGGGATAGGGACAGAGTGACCTGGGGAGATGGTGACAGTGGAGAACCCTTCCTCTTTATCTTGCAGGACTGCTTTGCGGTGGTGACCGCCGGCGTGCAGGAGACCACCAGGCTGCTGGAGAACAAATTTGACTACATCTTCTTCACCGGTATGTTCTCGGGGCCAGAGCAGAGCCCTGTCTGGTGTTGGTGGAATGAGGAAGGGGGATTCCCACCAGAGACTCTGCTGTGACTCCCCCAACATGAGATGGTGGCAGCTGCATGCGAGCAGGACCCCTTGGTTCCCTCAGGGACCTCCAGGGCTGGAGATCTGGTGTCAGGATCTGTTGGAGGATCCGTGGTGTCCGTGTCTGAGCATCTGGTGGGATTTAGAGCGTTTCCCCTGAACCTGGCTCCCCAGGGTGCCATGTCCTCACCGTGACCCACCTTTTCCTGCCCCACAGGCAGCCCTTCCGTGGGGAGGATCATCATGACGGCGGCTGCCAAGCACCTCACGCCGGTGACGCTGGAGTTGGGGGGCAAGAACCCCTGCTACGTCTCCGACGTCTGTGACGTGCAGAACGTGGCCCGGCGGGTGGCCTGGGGACGCTTCTTCAACGCGGGACAGACCTGCATCGCCCCCGACTACATCCTCTGCAGCGTGGAGATGCAGGAGAAGCTGATGCCCGCCCTGCGTGAGGCCATCACTGAGTTTTTTGGCTCCAACCCTCGGGAATCCCCTGATTTTGGCCGCATCGTGGGGGACAAGCAAAGCTGATGCCCGCCCTGCGTGAGGCCATCACCGAATTTTTTGGCTCCAACCCTCGGGAATCCCCCGATTTTGGCCGCATCGTGGGGGACAAGCAGTTCCGCCGCGTCCGGGCGCTGCTGTGCAGTGGGCGAGTGGCCATCGGGGGACAGACGGACGAGAAGGAGCGTTACATCGGTGAGGGGACGGGGGCTGGGGACATTGTGGGACCACCCGTGTCCGTGTAGTGGGAGATCCCTTGCCATAGATTGGATCACTGGGCCAATGCCAATGGAATGAGTTTCACCAAGGGCAAGTGCCAGGTCCTGCACTTGGGCCACACCAACCCCCTGCAGCGCTACAGGCTGGGGGAAGTGTGGCTGGAGCTGCCTGGAGGAAAGAGACCTGGGGGTTCGAGTTGACAAAGGGCTGAATATGAGCCGGCGTGTGCCCAGGGGGGCAAGAAAGCCAATGGCATCCTGGCTTGTATCAAAAATAGTGTGACCAGCAGAAGTAGGGAGGTGATTGTGCCCCTGGACTCAGCACTGGGGAGGCCACACCTGGAGTGTTGTGTCCAGTTTTGGGCACCTCAATCCAAGAGAGATCTGGAGGTGCTGGAGCGAGTGCAGAGGAGGGCGACGAAACTGGTGAGGGGGCTGGAAAACAAATCGTCTGAGGAGCGGCTGAGGGAGTTGGGACTGTTTAGTGTGAGGAAGAGGAGGCTGAGGGGAGACCTCATCACTCTCTACAACTACTTGAAAGGACACTGTAGAGAGGTTGG